TGGGATTCGATCCCGGGTCTCCAGGATCGCGCCCTGGGCCAAAGGCAGGCGCTAAACCGCTGCGCCACCCAGGGATCCCTATGGTGATGAGTTTTATTCTCGTTAATAATATAAGCTAGGTTACTCTAATGGAGATTCTAAAATACAGTGACTTAACCACATTGGAAGTTTCTCTCACACTTCATAGTAATTCAGAGATCAGGATTCCTTTTATTTCACTGTTTTCTCTGTTTCTTTAGTTATTGTCAAAGCAAGAGTCACCACTTTGATTTGAGACTTAGCCCAAAGCAAGAGGTAGGGGGGAAAGAAGGGAAGAGGTTATTGAGCTGGGTATGAGGAAGATGCACACATCACTTTTGTTCACATTTCATTGGAAAAAAACAAATTTATATGGTCATAGCTAACTACAAAAGGGAAGATGGGAAATGTAGTTTATAGCTGAGTGGCCATGTGAATAGCTAAATTCAGTTACTAAGAATGAATTGGAAAATGGGACACCTGAGTGGCTCAGTGGTTGAGCACGCCTGCCTTTGGCTCAGGGCATGATTCCGGATTCCTGGGTTCAAGTCCCACAAAGTCCCACATCGGGCTCCCTGCATGGAGCCTGCTTCTCCCTCTGCCTGTGTCTCTGCCTCTCTCTCTCTGTCTGATTCTCTCATGAATGAATAAATAAAATCTTTGAAAAAAAAAAAGAACTAAAAGTGTATCTTAGCAGATCAGTGTTATAGAATAATAAACCCATAAATATTAGATTTCTCGGGATGCCTAGGTGGCCCAGCAGTTAAGCGTCTGCCTTTGGCTCAGGGCATAATCCTGGAGTCCTGGGATCGAGTCCGAAGTCAGGCTCCCTGCAGGACCTTGCCTCTCCCTCTGCCTGGGTCTCTGCCTCTCTCTGTGTCTCTCATGAATAAATAAATAAAATCTTTTAAAAAATTAGATTTCTCATCCATTTAAAATCATTCCTTCTAAATGTCTTGTGTTTTTTTTTCATTTCAAGTGGAATTCAGAAAATAATTGCACCCTTCGTTTATAAAAAAATAACATTTCCATAAAATTGCTCACCAAAGAATGGATTATACCTTTAAGCTTTAGGTAGAGAGAAGGGAAGGAGAAATGGATTTGCCAAACCTGGATGAATGATCATTGCAGCTTCAAAATGAAATAATATATATAAATAGTCTAATTATACCCAGAAATCATTTACAAAAATTCTCAAGATGCTCAGATGCTAGTTAGAAAGGCCCTTTGGGCTTTTGTGCATATGACTGTGTGCCTACCCCAGAGGCAGTGTCCTGGGTTACTCTGCCCCTCTCCACCTGGTGGTGAGATTTCATAACACACCAGGATTGTCACTTCTAGCTCTGAAACCTTTAAGCATTGGAAATAGCTCTAAATAAGAGACCTGTTGTTACAACGCCTCATTCTTGTGTATAGAAATAGCATTCCAGTAAACTGTTAATTTGGATAGCAATTTCTGGATAAAGAACTTGTTCTTATAGCAAATACTGCTGATGGCTCTGACTACTTCTGTTGTGGTGGCACAGGAGACCCAGGTGTTGGAGTAACTGGCAGCTGTCACAAGTGGGCCAAATGCTGTGACCTACATAACCTATTAACATCGGTTTTGAGGGCTGTTGACTCTTGTTTTAGGCTTTTAATTCACTTTACTCTTTTTAAGGGGGAATGATAAAATTGCATAATAGGGCTGTAAACTCTTTCTGCTCTTAATTAAATTGATGAAAAAACATAAAGCCACCTCAAACACCTTCTGGACTAGGGTTTAAATAAATGAATAAATTCAGTCATATATATTCAAAAGAAAGTAGAAAATGAAATTTGGTTTCCAAATTTACCAAGCTGTTGGTATTTTTAAGAAATAACAATGTCAAATCATTAAGATTTTTTAATCACTAAGTTGTACACCTGAAACTAATGTAAATATGTATCAATTATACTTAAAAAAAGAAATACTGTGTTTATCCATATTGTTAATAATTTACATCATAGATTTGTTTACCAGTAATAATTTTGACTTGCTTAAGTTGACACTCAAATTTTGGCCAATTATAACAGAAAGCTATTCCAGGAATCCAGAGGTAGGAGTCTGAGCCCAAAGCTCCCAGCCTCAGGGAGAAGTGAGAGGCAGAGAAGAACAGCGGATTCTGTGCAATACTGTGCTCAAGTCATTGCTAAAGGGCGACAAAAGGACTACTTTGTTCTAGTTCTGACTCCTTGTCCTAAAATTCATATTCAGCATTCACCTGTAGCAATTATTTGAGCATAATTTTTGTTGTTTTTCCAAGTACCCAAATTAAAATATTCACTTGGCTAATTATTGTATTCAGCATGCAGTAGGTACCAAGCATTAAGGGTTCAGTGGAAAACAAGATAGATAAGGTCCTTGCTCTACTGGAATTTAAATCTACTAATTTTTATGTATTTATGTAAATATGTATGTAAATCTACTAATTTTATGTACTAATATTCTGTATCAAAGTATATTTGAGTACAGTCAGATTAAATGCTTCTTTGTGGAAAATCTTCTTGGCTTTATCATAGTCTGAAAATCCCAGTCAAGAACCTTCCAGCTTGCTGGAGCTAAGTGAGGTAGGTTAAGCCACAGGCAAAAGAACAACAGAACTTTGATAAGGGGGATCCCTGGGTGGCGCAGCGGTTTGGTGCCTGCCTTTGGCCCAGGGCGCAATCCTGGAGACTCGGGATCGAATCCCACGTCGGGCTCCCGGTGCATGGAGCCTGCTTCTCCCTCTGCCTATGTCTCTGCCTCTCTCTCTCTCTCTGTAACTATCATAAACAAATTAAAAAAAAAAAAGAACTTTGATAAGGGGGAACAGAAACAAAATAGCTTTGATCAAGCTTTTCTGTAAACATCACCTGGCTACCTCAGAAAATGATGTGTTTGTCCTTATCATCAAAGTGTACTTGTTAAGTGGGTGGATAGTGCTGGATATATACCCTCATCCTCAAGAAAACGTAAGACACAGGGAAAAAATACTCATGTGACTTTTGATGATGATAAAGCACCATTTCTCATCACTGTGTAGATGTAAAACTTGAAAATTGAGATAATTTAAGAAGGTGTGTTAAATGGCAGCTTGGAACATCTCCGAAGTTAACTGTCCTTGGAAGGGATAAGCACTGGGAAAAGAGGACTGACAGCTGGTACTCCCTTCTATATTTGGCTTGTTGCCACTGCTGGGAGACCTGTCTAAAATAAACACTGGGGATCCCTGGGTAGCGCAGTGGTTTGGCGCCTGCCTTTGGCCCAGGGCGCGATCCTGGAGACCCGGGATCGAATCCCACGTCAGGCTCCCGGTGCATGGAGCCTGCTTCTCCCTCTGCCTGTGTCTCTCTCTCTCTCTCTGTGTGTGTGTGACTATCATAAATAAATAAAAAATAAATAAATAAATAAATAAAAAGAGCTCACAAACTGTTTGAGAGACAGATGATGATGACCTGTACCAGTAATTCAATGTGGTGAGTTATGTGAGAGTTCACACACACAGATCATGGGCCATACTTGTGCTCCATCTTGGCATAAGACTAGCCCATAGACTATACATGGTGTCCACACTGAAAACTCTGTTCCTTGCTTGTTATGGGGCTTGGAATAACAGGTGCCAACGGCTGCCTTTTCTATTTCTGTCCCCTTTATACGTTCTCCCTGTCTCCCTTTCCTCACTCTCAACATACTCCCTCTCCCTCCCCAAGCATCACATTTGTCCAGGTCTTTCATATTTTGTCTGAAAGATTTCTTTGTTTCTCTACTCTTGGCCTCCAAGAAATGATGGGTGTTTGGAAATTAATTCCACCATTTACTAAGCAAATGATGTGAACTGCCAAAGCCTCAGTTAACTGATGTATAAAGTGGGTTAGTAGTTACCTTAACATGTTTTGAAGATGAAATGTTATAAAATTTCAGTTGTAAACTCTCATAGATGCTCAATAAATATTTGTGAATGTTAGTTCCTTCCTCTAGCCATCAGTATATGAATTCGAAGAATTTTTTTTGATTACCTAAACCCTAAAGAGATGTTAATTTAATACTTGAAGATTTTTTTTAAGTGAGTGATAGTGTCTCCTTTGCTCTGTGATCACATCACATTTCTAAGTTGTTGTTGTTTTGTCTTGGCCTATTTTCATTTATAACAGCTATATTGAGATATAATTCATTACTGTAAAATTCATCCTTGAAAATGTATCATTCAGTGGTTTTAGTATATTCACAGAGTTGTGCAACTATGACCATTATCTAATTTTATAAAACTTTGATCCCTCCAAAAAAAGAAAGAAAGAAAGAAAGAAAGAAAGAAAGAAAGAAAGAAAGAAAGAAAGAAACCCATACCTGTTATCAGTCACTCCCACCATACTCCTGGTAATGAGGTGGGTGGTTAACCTGTTTGTGCTGTTTTATACAAATGGAATCAAACCGTATATGATCTTTTGTGTCTGTTTTTTTTTTCCCTTAGCATCATCTTTTCAAGGTTCATCCATGTTGTAGCATGTATTAGAACTTCATTCCTTCTTGTGGCTGAATAGTGTTCCACTGTATGGATAGCCTATATTTTGTTTATCCATTCATCACTTGGTAGACATCTGGGTTGTTTCCACTTTGGGACTGTTATGAATAGTGCTGCTGTGACCTTGTATTCGAGTACAAGTTTACGTGTGTTTTTCAATTCTTTTGAGAATATGCCTAGGAGTATAATCTTTAGTTGATAAAGAATTTTCAGTTCAAAGCAAAGAATTCTCATGATGAGAGAACTTAAGATTCTTACTGGGAGAATTTCTATACTGGTTACTTAAGACTGAAGTTTTTTGCATTGGACTTCACAGAGCATTATATGTTTACTGCTTGGCTTGTCATAGAAACCAACAAAAAAGCAAGAATCTTTTCTGAAAGGATGAGAAACAGTATAAATGCCCCCAACATAATAAAGGATACTTGTATTAGCATAAAGTAACAGAACAATTCCCAAATATTCTTTTATTCTCACCAAAGCATTTATTTTCACTCACTTTACATACAAAGTACTCTCCAGGAATCAGAAGGGGAAGACCCTCCTAAAGGGATGCAAATTAAGGAAAAGTTAGATTAATGTAAACACATTTAAGAAGTATGCTATCTTCAGTTCTAGAGCATGAGCTTTTTATTTTTAATTTTTATTTATTTATGATAGTCACAGAGAGAGAGAGAGAGATTGAGAGGCAGACATAGACAGAGGGAGAAGCAGGCTCCATGCACCGGGAGCCCGACGTGGGATTCGATCCCGGGTCTCCAGGATCACACCCTGGGCCAAAGGCAGGCGCCAAACCGCTGTGCCACCCAGGGATCCCTAGCATGAGCTTTTTAGAGTGAGGGTAAGAATGTTTCCTGTTCCCTGAGCCATCTCCCTTCCCAACCCAAACTGAACTGAAAGGGAAAAGCAGGGGCTGGAATAGCTTCTAGACTTAGGTCTCCATTCAGTTTAGGAGTAGGCTTTAAACACTGCATTTACCTTTATAGAAAACTTCAGAAAGCGAAAAAATGTGTTTGAAATGGAACTTGCCTTTGAGCATCCTATGGTCAGTCACACAGAGGTCACTAATCATTTTCCCTTTTCTTGTTTTTCAGTGAACGAGATAATTGGGAGAGACATGTCCCAGATTTCTGTTTCCCAAGGAACAGGGGCAAGCAGGGAGGCTCCCCTCCCAGGTCCCAATTCCCTGGATAGAGGAAGATCCGATGGGCTCTAACAGTGCTCACTGCAGCCATGTGTCCACCACCATGGACTTCTCAGCATTTTTCTCTCCTTGGACCTTGGGTTTCCAATTCTGTGGCTTTCAGGACTGGCGCCAGGAGTTGGGATCACTGTATGTGGGGAAAGCAGCATTCCTCCACCTCAGGCCTTGGGTAGATTTTTGTAAAAGAACAGGAGCAGCATAGACTGAGCTTTGGGGAAATGAGCTTTGCTTTTTATATTTAAATAGGATACTTTTATATGATGGGTGCTTTGAGTGTGAATGCAGCAGGCTCTCCATTTCAGAGGTGCTGCTTTTGCAAGTGACCTGGTTGCTTAGCTGTGATTGGTGATTTGTACTCCTTTATGGTCATTTGAAGGACTCTTTAGCTTTGATGATATTTTTAAAGTAGTAACTTTTGATAAAACCTTCCAGAGGTAAACATGAAAAAAAAAATTCTCCCAAGCCCACACCTATGCCTCAGAAACTCAGCATGCCCTAAAGCCTTTCATAGATTTATAGGAAATAAAGCCAAATGTAGCTCATACCTCTTATAAAAGTAAACTGTTAACGTGAGGAGACCATTCCAATCATTGAAGTGTTGGAATATAAAACGACATTCCAGAGCATAGCCTTTTTATAACTTTTTAGGTAATCTTCCTGCAGTCTCTCCATAATGACTCCATGTTGAAATTGCTTTTTTCCCTCAGGGCCTTGGATAAGATAGCGACATGTAAGGTAACTTTGAAAGGTGGGTTTTTTAGCTTGGTAGCTTTAATACCCTGCCATCCTGCAAACAAGTACGCTGTGGAGTGCTTTTCTTGTGTCCTCTGGTCCCAGACCTTTTCCGAATGATAGTTTATCTGCATTTGGCTGCTCTATATCCTTTGAAGCCATAGCCTTATGACGGTTTAGGCAAATTTGCTGGTTCTAGCTCATCTCTAGAGGCCAGGCTGTGTCAGAAGCTAAACGCAAATAAGCTATGCTTCAAAAGAGGAGCAGAAAAAAAAAAAAAAAAAAAAAGGAGCAGAGATAAAACAGGACTCCAGATGGGAAGCTTTTAAGATTCACAGTGGCATGGAAGGCTTATCCCTCATTCTGTTTACAACCTAAAATGATTCTGGCCTACCTTGTCCCTCTGCATGGCCTAAAAACCAGCCTTTTCCCCAAAAGGCTTTGAGGCAAACCCAAACATGAGGTAGCATCATAGACCTAACCCTCCACACCAAAGATGCCCTGGTGCTGCTGCTGGTGAGGCTGGTGCCCAACGCAGGGGCCAGTAAGAAACTCCAGCCTGCTGTCTACCAAAGGAGGTGCCCGAGTTGGGTGCTTTTTCCAAACTCTGCCCTTACCCATCCCATTAATGGGATTAGTATCTATTCCAAGGCTGGGGCCATTTCAAAGCACCTGAAGTTTGTAGAATGTTTGCACACAAAATCATGTAATTTCATTTATTCAAGAAGGAAATTCTTTTGAGTGCCTATATGTGCGACAGTGTGCTGAGCTGGTCAAAGGCTTGATGTTGTTACTCCAGGGGATAATGAGTCCTAGATGCCAGGACTCTATTGAGGTCAGCTGAGGCCTGGGCAGAGGGAGCCGGGTCACTGGCCACCACCTCTAGTCAGCCAGGTAGGAACTGTTCACCTCCTACAGGATGAAGTATGGTCTTTTTATTTTTATGCCCCCTTCAAACCATGATGATTTAATTTTCCCCCTAAAACTAGTTAGAGAAAAATGTATATCCTTCAGCAAATCACTCTAGTCCCTCTTGGAGCTGGGTGTTTTCATATTTTCTTTAAGTTTTGTGTCAGAGTGTGGATAGTGAGATTTGCTTCAGGGCCTGTAGTTGGCAGCCTACAGCTTCCTTTGGAGGGGTTGTGAGAGGCGGCCCCTGACAGGAAGCTCCAGACAGCTGGCCGGACTTGCCTCTACCCTCTTGCCCCTGGGGTAGCTGCCTCACATGGGGTTTTTGGAAGACCCTTTGGGGGTTGCTCTGCTGCCTTCAGGAATAAAAGCCTCTATGATCCAGAGTTGCTATGCACCAAATTTCGATGCCTTTTAAATACCTTGATGCCTGTAGCACTAGAAATGCTTTCCTATTTAAAATAAAAGTTAAATTTTAAAATAGAGCTTTGTATACTATATGGGCAGTCTTGTATCATTTTGTAAAATCTTTGGTTTAAGAATCAATATTTTTTGGCTTTGTAGGTAAAGACTTTAAACTTTGTGCAACAGGAGTGGTGTTAAAGCACATATCCATTGGACTGTGTAAACTGACTTCTAGTAGCAACATTGAGCAACTCAGCATGCCCTGGCCCCTACCCCTACCCCAGCCAACCTGTGCTGATTCTGGGTTGAGGAATGAGATAAGCAGCCTTTTGCTTACTAGAGATTCTGAGAGAAACATGGCTGAAAACAGCTTGAAAGGGACCAGATGTCTTGTCTTCAGGTTTATGTTTGGTGCTGCTGCCTGTGCAACCCACCCCTGCCTGAGGCTAACCATTATAAAGCTCTGCTGGATCTGGCAGTGCAGCCCTGGGGTGGTGGTTCTTACTTGTTTGAAGACTTACTTATTTTACAGGGGGAGGGGCAAAGGGAGCCCCACAAGATCACCACCTGAGCTGAAACCAAGTGTAGGATGCTCAACCTACTGTGCCAACCAGGGGCCCTCTGGCCTTGAAGCCCTGTTTTTAATATTCAGTAGATGGTTATCTTTAACACTCAGATGGGCTCAAGTTGAAACCTTATGTTTTTTAAAATGGGTGATGTTCAGTTAAGGAATTGGTTCTGAGTTATGTTTACAGCACTTGGAATTGTGTTTTCTTAGACATTTTGTATTTTAAAACCTTTTCTAGGAGTATAGTGCTCCTTACACAAATAACAAAGGGAAGAGCCAGCAATTCAAGTTCCTCAGTTACAGTGCTGAAATAATAAATGATGACAGGTTAACAGTGAGTGTCCTTGAAATCTGCCTGAGTTTTCCTCTGCCTGGGGCAAGCGTGGAGCCCCACACTCTGGGATCCAAAGCTAAGGGCACTTTGGCTTTTAAAAAGTCCACCTGGTTAGGAACCTTTATTTTACGAAGTAAGCAGAATTCCAAATTCTTTCCAAAGCTTCAATTATGTACCCTCTTAATGGGTGCAAAGGGCATTCCACGAAGTCTGCTGAGTTCAAGACAACTGGCCCGCCCAAGGTGTGCATGAAAAGTAGGCAGAAAGTCCCCTTTAAAATTCAAGTCTGAGTTTTTATGTGAGGGCTTCCTGCCCTCTAGTGTCCTCTGGGGATACTGCAGTACAGTCCATCAAAACCAACTGTGATTTTGCCACCTGATATTCCTTGTGCCAAGCGGAGAGTTAGCATCCTCAGACCCGTGGCACAATGTGGCCACTAAGGTCCAAGTATCCTGGGGGCCGGGGCCAGCATTCTCTGTCTCCCTGCCCCCTACCAGAAGGGACAGGGGAAGGTAGAACATTGGGATCTTTACTCAGAAGCTCCCAGGAGTCATACACTGAAGGCACCAGGGCTTACATTTTAAAAAGAAAACCAAGCCTGCTGTGGACATCAGCCCCACAGCCAAAACCAACCAAAGGCTCTCTTGCTGCTACTCAGGAGGCCTAGATCAGGCCATTGGGAGTAGGGTAACACCATTCCACCCCCAGCCCTGCATGCAGGGGTCCAGCCATCATCTTTGGGGTGAACAGACAGCAACAAGTGGGAGATGGACCTGGGGCTTGAGCTCCTCTAGGTGCTTTCTGAGACCTTTGACAAGCCAGAAGCCACCTGATTGAGGATACTGATTCTCTGGACGCAAGAGAGACATGTTAGACATCAGCCAGCTCTTACCTCCTGGCTCCCTCACCTACAAACACACCCACTCTTTGGGGGCCTGTAGCACAGTGCGAGGCGGGTCACCAACAGGCACCAAACTGGTGTAGTCATCAGGGGCTAACTGCAGGAGGGAAAGAGGTTTAGGGGAGGGAGCCCCTGGCTCAGCCACGTTCCCATGCCCTCCAGCCACACCTCACCTGATAGGCTTGGAAGACACTGAGCAGATCCTTCATACCGGCTGTATATGGGACACCCTGCATACGGACCAGGGCTCCTGGCTGGGACAACACTGAGGTGGAAGCAGAGGCCAGGGCAGCAGGAGGTGTGGTGAGGTAGCCCACCGTGGTGGGGGACACTGGGGGGCTAGGATGGGAGAGGCAGGGATTTTAGGAGTGCAGTCCCACCTGCCTCTCTCCTACCCTGGTCTCTGCCTTGTGCTTAGTTCAACTCCTCCTCCCTAAAACCTCAGTCTCTAGAGTCCTCTCCATTCCAATCTATAGATGGTATCCACCAGGCCATACCTTGACCACCTGAGAATAAGTCTCAGCTCTAACAGACCTTAGACTGTCTGGCCCAGAAAGGGGATCATGAACCTCCCCCAAACCAGAACTGGGGCAAGACTGTGGAGTTTTCTTAAGCAGCTGGTACCTGGGGTAGTAAGCAGTATAGTTCATGTAGAGTTGAGTGGCTGGCCCTGGGTAGTAGGCAACAGGGGTGGGGGCAGCAGGCACCCTGGCAGCCGGGAGCAGTGCTGAAGAGGGATACAGAGCTGCCGTCTCAGCGGGAATGAGTGTTGGGGTGGCCTGGAAGGTGGCGTAGGTGGGTGGTGAGAGGCCTGGAGGCAGAAGTAGAGAGCGCATCTGCAGGGAGCCCAGCACTGCCCTGGGTGAGGCAGCCAATAAAGTGTCTCCCTGTAGAAAGTGAAAGTTGTAACAGCTCGGCCTCCACACACCTCCTTCCCCAGCCCCTGGGACACTCACAGGGCAGCTTGCAGGGTGGAGGGGACATGCCACTGCGGCCCAAGGTGCCCCCCATTAGCACGCGACTCATCTCCTCTGTGGAGCAGGGGACCACTTCCACATAGCGTTCCTTCATCACTTTCTTATGGCAACGCTGAGCAGCAGCTAGGGCCCGCTCTGCTGACGTCATCTGGATGAAAGCATCGCCAGATGGCCGGCCCTGCGCACATGGTGGTCTTGTAAAGGGTCTGTGATCTGTCACTTGCTAGAGCACCTGACCCGCAACCACAAACCCCTCTCTCACTATGGAGGTCTCCCCACTGGCACCAGCCTCACCTGCTGGTTGAGCACCATGTGCACACCGTGGGGCCGGATGTCGGCCGCTGCCTCCCCCAGAAAGCTCAGGATGTCTTCGATGGTGGCGGTGTAGGGCAGGCCCCGAAGGCGTACACAGTCTCTCCCAGTCCCAGCTGCCAGTGGGAAGGGGATGGGGAGCAGTGGAGCCGTGAGTGCGGGAAGGAGTGGGCTGGATGCGTAGCGGTTCAGGACCTGGTAAAGAAGGCAGCGACAGGCCGGTCACGCCACATAGGGCAGGGGTCCAAGGCATGGAAGGGGTACCCTGGAGAAGCACACGGTGGGTAGGGGGAGCCCTGGGTGCTCACCTGCTGCACCTCAGCTGCAGTGCTCCGGAAGAGTTCAATGTATCGCTTACCCAGTATGCCCTTGTGCCTGCGCAGGGCAGCCTGTGCCAGCTCCTCACAGGCAAAGAGGGCAAAGGCATCACCAGTGGGCCGGCCGTCAGGGTGGCGCACAAAGAGCAGCCCATCAGCACCCCCAGTCACCGGGCACTCTGGCCCCAGAAAGCCCAGCACGTCCGCTGGCCCGGCTGAGAAGGGCAGTCCCCGTAGCCGCAGTATCACTTGGTCTTCCCGTGACAGGAAACGAGCCACCTCTAGTGATGTGCCTTGGTGAGAGGCATGGGAGTCACCCACTGACCTCATCCGTGCCCTTCCAAACACCCACCTACACCCGGCACATAGGGGAGCAGAAAGGCAGGGGGCGGTGGGCCAGTGGGACATGGACGGAGAACCAGGGGAGCCACCGCTGCTGCTGGGAGCACACTCACCCCCCGCGATCTTGACAAACTCCTCTCCTGTTGCTTTATATACCTGTGGGGACAGCAGGGACAGCCCGTGTGTCTCCAGCCTGGCCGGCCTCGGCTCTGCCCTGCTGCTCCCCCGGCCCAAAGCCCACCTCAATATAGCGGACACCCATGTGGTGCTTGTGTCTCTGCAGCGCTAGGTCCCGCTGCTCGCTGTCCACAAAGCGGATGAGGGCCTCGCCGTTTCTGCGGCCCTGGGCATTGAGGCAGAGTGCGACGCCGCCCCTGCCGAGCCAGGGCTGCGTTAGTGCCTCCCGGGCAGGCCTGCCCGCCGGAGCCCACCCATCCTGCCGTACCTACCTGGCAATGTTGAGCCCTTTGAAGAATCGAGCCACATCCTGGTCTGATGACTGCCAGGGCAACCCGCGGGCCCGCACCACGGTCTCACTGTCCACCACGTCGGCCTTGCTGCTGTGGGGGTGGGGCACAGAGTCAGAGCTGCGTCCCCCACACACGTCACCGCCCACCCCGGCCCCCACACTCACCAAGGACCTGTCTCATACTTCTGCTTTACCACCTCTGCCTTCGAAAACAATTGACCTGAGAGGATATGGCATGGGGGTCAGCAGGGTCTGGTGGAGGGGGTCTCCCCACCAAGCTCTGCAAAGAGAGGACAGTTGAGGGGGATAAGGCAGTGACAAAGGAGCTCTTACCTATGGTCTCTCACAGAAGGTAACAAGTGGGGATGGGGACTTTGAGGGAGTAAGAGGCAGATGCTCGCCTAGTCCTAGAGCAGGTGACTGGTGCTGAGGCGAACCTTACCACTGGGCCCTTCGAGCAGGTGGAGGATGACCGCTACCATTGTCTTCACTTCCCAGACCCCAAAGTCATCCTCTGTGGCATCTGTCTCTAGCCCCAAGTCTATGAGCAGAGAAAGAACCGTGAGGAAATCCCAGCATGAGCACCAATCTTGGTCCTACCCAGGCCCAAGTCCCTTTGGGGGACACATGCAGAATCCCAGCAAACACGTTGGTTCTGATCCAGCTCCTGTATGTCCTTACAAGTCTCCAGCCCAGACCTATGCGGACACACGTCCGTATTCCAAACACACCCCAGTGCAGACACAGAAGCGTGTGTCCTCAGGACTTGGCAGATAGTGTAAACCCACGTGTGTTTATATAACCCCCCCCCAGGACGCACATACTCAAAAACAGCCTGCAGCCTCCCCTCCACCCTAACCCCGCCAGGTCACAGATACCCTGTGCCATGGTGGCCACGGTGAGCTCCCTGGCAGGGCGGGCGCTTGGGTGCTGCACGTGGAACTCTCTGCGGAGGTCGTAGAAGGAGAAGAAGGTGTCGGGGAGCACCAGGTTCTGGGGGCACATGGGAGTGGGCATGAATAGGGGGAACTGAGCTGCCCTGCCCACCCCCATGACAGGGGGTCCTGGGCACCCTACCCCGTTGTGCCCTCGGTGGCATACCTTCCTGGAGGCCTCAGGGTGCAGGACCTGTCGCAGCAGCTGCTGCCCATCAGTGCATAGCATGTAGGGGCCCCCGCCCAGCAGAGCCACATCCCCGCTCACCAGCTGTGAGAACTGGGGACAGAGAGTGGGGAGAGAGACAGACACAGACTCACAGCTGGGCGGGCAAGAGGAAGGAGGAGGGAGGACACAGGCTACCAAGCTGGTTCAGCTAGATGTTCAGCCCTGCCCTGCCTGGGGAGGAGTTGGCCACAGTCCTTGGGCCTGGTCCTGTGTCCCTTTTCTCCCCCAGTCCACTGTCAGCTTCTCCAGGCCAAATGGGGGCAGTCACATTATCACCCAAGCCCCCATCACACACACTCCCAAGAGTCTGGAGTGGGGCCAGAGCAAACACCTGGTGGAGTGGGACAAGCAGGTGGGAAGGGGCGGGGCAAAGCAGGTTAAACCTGTCCCCGACCAGGCACCACCCTCAGACAGGTGGGGGAGGCCCAATCCTGCCTGAGGCCCAGCTGGCTCATGGTCAATGGCAGCCCCGCCTCTAGGTCTGACCAACCCACGGGCAGAGAAAATCCAAGGACAGAGCTCCACACCTGGACGCCAGGGGCAGTGCGAGCTTTGACCCACACCCTATCGACCGGCTGGCACTGAGTTGTTTGCTCACAGAGGGGGTGGCACTCCCCAAGCTGCCCAGCCCCCGCCCCCCACCCGGCCTTCCCAGCCAGAGGAGAGGGAGAAGCACTAAGCGCAGGCCCAGGGCAAGCCAACGCAGTTCTCCTTCGGCACACTCTCGAGGTACGGTGTAGCCTGGGAGCCCCTGGAACAGGATCAGGTTCAGCACCTCACCAGCGGAGAACCAGCGGCGTTGTTGGAAAAGGAAAGAATTTGTGCACGTAAAGCACTTAAAGCCCCTACACTCGAGACCAGGCACAGGGTGAGTGCAGTTAGTGAAGATCAGAGAAAGAAAACAGCAGTGGGAACCGCCTCCCGCTGGAGCCAGGCCTGGGAGGCACCGGGCCTCTGCGCTCGGGAGGCAGGTAGCCTCCAGGCGGGGTCCGGACAGCGCCCACGCCTGGCCAGCCGGCCGGGGCAGGCCTAGACCAGCCGCTTACACCTGGCGGCGTCTGCCTCCCAGGCAGACCCCGCCCTACGCCCCCGCTCCCGCGTCTCCCAGGCCGGTGGGTGGGCCGAGGTCGCAGGCGGCGGGGACCGTGACCTATGGCCAAGGCTGGGCCCCTCCGGCCCTTTTAGCTTCCGACTGCTGGGCTGGGAGACCCGGCCAGGCGGGTTCCCAAAGGCGTCTCGGCCTCCCAGCCCCGCCGGCCCTGGGAGGGGTCTCGCGGCTTCCGTCCCACCGCGTAAGTAGCAGTGGATCCCCGGAAAGGCTGAGAAGCAGGGCGCCCCCAGGAAGGGCCGGCACACGCGGGAACCTCTGAAACTTTTAAACGGCAGGAACCCGTCCTACCACCCAGGCCGATTGGTCGCAGCACACCAGGCCTCGCCCCCCGCCGCCGGTCCCGGTCCCGCCGGGCAATGTCCCCGCTCGGCCGGGCCCCGACGCTCACCTGCTGCAACACCTTGTCCAGCGGCTCGGCCCGCGCCAAGCTGTCGGCGCTCAGGCCGCTCGCCTCGCGGCACTGCGGACTCAGCGCCGCCGCCTCGGCGCGAACCAGTGACTTGTGCAACGTCCCCACCTACGAGCGGCGGGGGGAGCCGATCAGCCACTGCTCCCCTCGGACCCTGCAGCCCGCGGGAGCCCCACCGCCCCTCCTCGCCGTACCTGCCGGCTCTGCGGCTCCACCACTTGCCAGACCAGGAGGATTAAGTCGGTCTCGTCGGAGCCCAGGTCCGGCCCCAGCGCACCGGCCGTGGCCCCGAACAGCACGACCAGGGGTCCAGGCGCGGGGCGGGGGTCGGCGACCGAGTCCGAGGCGGGGTCCGGGCCGGGGGGCGGTGGCTGGGGAGGCGGCGGAGTCATGGCCGCAGAGGAAGGGGGCGCTCGGCCAGACACGCGCGGACCGACGAGGCGCACGCACGCACCGGCCGACGGCAGACACCAATCAGCTTGGGCGGGACCCGGTGTGTCGGGGGCGGCACCTGCGGCCCGGCCGGCGCAGTGGGCGCCGCTGAGACCCGCCCGCGGCGCCCCGTGGGGCGGGGCGGGGCGGGGCGGCTGCTGGCCCCCGCCCTCTCCCGGCGAGTTACCTGGCGGCCCCGCCGGCCACGTGACCCAGGCGGCCCCGGGAGCGCGGCGAAGGCGGCCGGCGCCCAGCGCCCAGCGCCCAGCCCGGAGCGCGCGCGCTCCCTCGCCGGCCCGGGTGCGCGCTCGCGGCCCAGACTCCCCCTCGGGCCGTGGGCCGTGCCTGCCTCCTGGGGCGATCCGGTGCCCCTCTGCCCCTCCCCACCGCGAGGCCTGCGCCCAGGGGCCTTCTGCAGGGCGTAGGGGTCACATGGCATTTGTGAAAATCACCAGGAGCCATTCCAGGGGCAGCGGGGGCCCTGACGGCCGGTGTGGGGGCTGATGAAAGTCACCAAAGAGGGCGGCGAATTACCCGCTGTCCCCCACGGGCCGAGGGTGAGCAGAGGCTCTTACAGCCTTGGGATCGGGGGACCGAGGGGACGGCCTTAGCCCGGCTCTGGGGTGCGCAGGTGGGAGCGCCGTGCTCCAGCCCCGGGAGCCACTCGAGGCGGGGCGGCGCCGGACGGCCGGGCCCGGGGGCTCACCTCTGCCCCAGGTGGAGACGGCTGCCCGTTTCCGTCGCCCTCCCCGCCCGACGACGGGCCTGCTGCCCGGAGACCGAGCGCCCGGGGGTGGGGGCCAGCGACGAGGCTGTGGCGTGCGCGCACGGGCCGCGGGTCCCCGTCGCTGCTCCCTCCGAGGCCGGCGACCCGATCAGGTCCGTCCCGACACCCTCTTGCCCCGTGGTGCTTGGGGAGCCTCCCTTCCGGCGCGTCTCCAGGCCGCCCCGGACTTCTCTAAGTTCCCGCATTTATAGGATTGAGAAACGGAAGGATCTGGCGGGAGAAGGGACGTGGGGCTGCCAGGCCCGCGCGGACGCCGAGGCGGGAGCCGCACCTCGCGCTTTCGGAGGAGATGGGCGCCCTGGGGTGGAGGGGGCGCTTCCGAGGCCTTGCCCAGGGAGCTCACACTTCAGCGCGTCCCTACTCAACGGATAGAGACCGAGGTGCCCAGGACGGAAGCGGCTCGCTGCGGTCCGCCGGGAGCGAGGAGCAGACCTCCCAGCGGCGCGGGGCCCCGGCGCCTCCTCCGCCCCTCTCGGGGCCGCCCACCCCGGCGCCCGCCCGCTGGTCCCCACCCGCCGGAGCGCTAGGCCAATCGGGCGGGCGGGAGCCGGAACGTCGCTCCTCGGGTCCAGCCCCGCTCTAGATAAGCCTGGAATGTCAAATATTTGTTCGGGGGGCGGGGCCCGCCGGGGAGCGAGGCTGCCCCCTGGCGGCCGGGAGCGCGCGTGCGCCTGGCGGAGTCGGCCTTGGGTCCTCGGCCGCAAGCGCCTTGGCCCCGGCGGCTCTCCCGAGCCCCTCGGCCTGCATCGCTCCCTGTCGGGCTCCCGTCGGGGCTCCAGCTTCCAGGGGACAGTCCTGGCGGCACCGCCTTGCCGGCGGAGCGCTCGATCTCGACCTCAGCCTTCCCGGAGCCCCCGTCCATTAAACCGTTAGGGCTTCACGCCAGGCCCTTCCCTAGGCTTCCTTCAGCGTGGGTCTCGAGGCCAGGGCCTCAGGGAAGCCACCTTCTTGAGGCGACCTCTCCGGTGTGGCACCTCTGGCCGTCCTGGCAGCGTGGGCAACTCCCTTGAACCTCCTGCGCGCCTGTCTGCCTGCCCCCAGCCCGCATCACAATTCCCGATACTTAAAAAAAAAAAAAAAAAAAAAAGATTTTAGGGATCCCTGGGTGGCGCAGCGGTTTGGCGCCTGCCTTTGGCCCGGGGCGCGATCCTGGAGACCCGGGATCGAATCCCACGTCGGGCTCCCGGTGCATGGAGCCTGCTTCTCCCTCTGTCTGTGTCTCTGCCTCTCTCTCTCTCTCTCTCTCTCTGTGTGACTATCATAAATAAATAAAAAAAAATTAAAAAAAAAGATTTTATTTATTTATTCATGAGAGACACGCAGAGAGAGGCAGGGACACAGGCAGAGGGAGAAGCAGGCTCCATGCGGGGAGCCCGACGCAGGACTCGATCCTGGGTCTCCAGGATCACGCTCTGGGCCAAAGGCAGGCGCTAAACCACTGCGCCGCCCAGGGATCCCAGTTTCCCATACTTGGACTCTTCTTGAAAGAATAAATTTTTAAAAATAAGGTTAGAAAAAAAATAATAATAAGGTTAGAGCCCCTGCTTTGCTGACCTCCTTTACTCATCTTTAGATGAATCCTCCCGGATCACACCATGAATGCCAAACAATCCTCATTCCTTTTCCCCAAAAACTAAAGTAACTTCTACCACAGCAAATCATTGTCTCCGTTCACCACTCACACCGGGAACTCAGTTCCTGGAGGACAGGCTCATCCCCAGTGCCCTTCATGGTGCCTGCCATGTAGTGCTTGATCCAGACTTCATGAACAAGTAGTTGTCTAAGCGCCTTGCTTTGCTTTGCGTTGTCAGCCTTCGGATATTTCAGCACTAGTAACCTTCCCTGGGGCTAAGGATCTTTCCTCTACTGAGCTTCCCTCCACCTGTCCCCTGCCCCAGTTAATCCCTGCTCTTCCAGATTTTCTCGCAAGGCACCTTCCTCTGTAGCAGGGATCCTTAATGGAGTTTGAGATTTCTGTATTTCATTGGGAAACAGCCCTCATCCCAACCCAGCTACTAGGGTTCACAAACTGTCAATAAATGAATTGGAAATAATAACATACATGAAAGGGGTGAGCAAGATTCCAAAGGTCCAGCCGGTAGCGTCCCCCAAAATGTAATCCAGGTACTTGAGGGAAAGGAACTTGGTTATGTGAGCCAGGCCACACACTCACAGAATCCCATCCTTACCTCAGCCCTTCGAGGCATTTCCACGAAGGCAACTGGCCCTCCAGCCGCGTACATGAAGGTTGGGGCAGACACAGGGTGGGGATCCTCACGTGGGGCCGGGAGTGTGTGTCTTGACCTACCCGGTGTGATGAGTGGTGTGAAAGCCCCCTCCTGTCTCCCTCCCAGGCCAGAACATATCCCACTGCGGGAGAGGATTCTACTTTGGGTGCCTTGTGGGATCCACTGCGGCGATCTACACTCGCCGGCTCTGGCCCATCCACGCCCTCTGCGGCCCGGTGGCCCGGTGGGTGGCCCGCAAGTGATCTGCTGCTCCCCTTGCTGAACTCCTGGGCCTCGGGGTAGACAGCGCTCTGCTCCCCCCCCCCCCAGGTTCCCAGCTACGCGCCGTTGCCGAATTTCCACTGAGCACCCACCAGAGGGCGCACCGACCCTGTCGCCAGAACCAGGTGATGGGGGCTGGGGAGGAAACTTGCAGGGGAGAGTGCAAAGAGTGCAACCCGGGGCCAAGCTCCGGGACAGAAGTGAAAAGGGAAAGCCCTTGACACGCCTTCCTCTGGTTTGAGCATCCCGGCTTCCTGAACCTAGGCCCAGTTCTTAAGCTTGGTTTTCAAGACCCTCAACCTCTCTTCCACTCCCACCCACAGTGTGTCCCAGACACACTTACTGTGACCAGGTCTGCAGGCTGCTGCACGTACTTAGCACGTACCCTACCTGGAGCACCCACCCACCTACTCATCCTTTTGTTTTCCTGGCAAATTCCTATTTATTCTTCAAGACCCATCTCTAATAATTCTTCCACCACGTAACATTTGTTGATGCCTAAGCCTGTTCTGGGCCCTTTTTCTGTCATGATTTGGTCAGTGTTTGGCCTCTCGTGACCCCAGGGAGGCTCCAACAGCAGAGGAATAGGAGCCTGATGAGCTGTGAGCTTTAGGGAGAATCATTTGGCCTCCAAATGGGTTCAGCTCTGGCTACCAAACCAGCTCAGAAGCCATGGTCTTGATTAGGTTGCCCTAAACCCAGGCACCCACCTGGTCCAGACAGGGTAGCTTGGAACTTGTGTGAGCAAGAGGGAATGAATGCAAAGGGCCCAGAGAAAGGGCAAAGGCTGTTGGCTGGATTCTCACCTGAGGAAGGTAGCACAACTGGCCTGGCTCCCTGGTCTCTGGACTTATTCCTACATCTGGTCTTTGCCCAGCATATTCTCCTCCACATGAATATTATCCCTCTTTGCCCAGTGTTTTCCAGAATTCACAACCAGCCCTGTGAACCTCTCAGTCCTTTATCTCCTCCAGGCCTGACAGGCATCAGGACCATGTCCTAGAAATGGGAAGTGTTGGAGAATGGGGTATATGACTCAATCACTCAATATATGTTAAGCACCTGCTGTGTGCCTAGGACTGTGCTGATGGGAGCCAGTAACCAAGAAGGCAGTTGCAACAGTAACATGCAGGTGAAGGGCTTGCTCTTCCATTGATTATATTCTAATGGGAGCCAGGTAGGGGCTGCTTCAGAGTCAATGGTCATGTCTGGGCTGAGGCCTAAAGGCAGAGCTCAGCTGAGTCCCCAAAAATGGGGGCTGCAAAATGATTCCAGTGCAACAAGTGCTGAAGTCCAGAGTGAGAATGAGGTTGTCCTGTTTTAGGCAGTGAGGAAGCTGCAGAAGCTGGAGACCTGTGAGCTGAGGAAGAGGAGAAGTGAAAGTTGTGGGAAAAGGCCAGAGTCCCCTGCAGGGTCTTCATTCACTATGAGTGAGATGTATATGATGCATGCAATAGAAGGGTTGTGAGTGGGGGTAGGTGGACAGTGATGTGCCCAGTTTAATGTCTAATGGGTCAGCCTGACACATGGAGAGCAACCCATAGGAATAAGGAAATAAATTGAGACATTAGCAAAGAGGCTACTATGGGGATGAAAGTAATTTGGCTTTGGGAAGGTAGAGCTGGCAAGACTTGGTGACCACTTGGTTGTAGGTCTGAGAATCAGGATAGTATCTAGAGTCCAGGATGAGACCAGGCCAGCAGTCAGTAGGGGGTGGGGGTGTGTGTGGGGGAATCATGTGGATGGCAAGGTCATTGTGAGAAGGGGGCATCTTTGCCTTCTGATTCCTCCCCTCTCCACAGTGTCAGCACATATCATTGCTGCTAGGTCTTGACATCCTCTCCCTGAAATCACTATGGTTCCTATCTGCAGGGCCTGGGGGGCTGGGGCACCCTATGAAGGGCCCATGGTCACCTGAGGTTACTTAGTTGATAAGACATTTAGTCTGGCCACAGTCCAAGGTAGCCCAGGCCATCCTGATGCCTACCCTCTTTCCACTTAACCCTTGACTGTGGCCCTGCCTATCCCTAGTACTGGCAAAAGGATCTCTGTGGTTTCCCACTGTGGGCCTGCACTAGATTGGTCTTCAGCACCCCCTCTCTGGGGCCCAGGTTGGAGATGAGGGAGAGGGGTTTTGGGCCCTTGCCAGGGCCAGAGGGAGATAGTTGGACCTTAGGAGAGTAGTGTACACCAACCACCAGTGTGTTTCACTATAAGAACACAGGAGGGGCAGGCCAAGATGGTGAGTTGATTCATCCAGGAGTACTCTGAAAGGCTAGAGAGGGTCAGCCATTGAGGAAGAGGAAGGAAGGGAGGGAAGGAGGGAGGGAGGGAGGGAGGGAGGGAGGGAGGGAGGAAGGAAAGAAGGGGCTGGCTAGTGGTCTTAAGACCAGCCAGAGGATGATCAGGGTGTTGTCTGACCCTCTGGAGGAGGTGTGTGGAGGATCAAGACTTCCAGTCTCCAAACATACTGGTCTCCGTATCCTAGAGCGACCCACGGTGCTGGTCCCATTGCCAGCTGTCAATACTGCCCATTCTGTTTGCTAATGATTCCTCCAGCAGAGAGTCTACGTGTCTTCTCTGGATCCCCAGTTTGAGTGGGGTGGGGATGGGAGGTGGACTCCAAGGTCACGACGCCTGTCCTGCTCTGCTGGGCAATTTGCCTATGGGCCATGGCCGCTGGGTGGAGGTTCAAGCCCACCTCTCCGGGGCACCAGAACTGCTCGGTCTGGCGCGGGGGACTCCAACTACAACTTTGGGCCCGGAAGCCCTCTCACACGTTGACCTGGCCTCCAGGCGTCCCACGCGCATTCCTAATTCCTGAACAAACAGACGCACGGGGCCCCTGGACACGCTGCTTGAGCCCACGTGCCATCAGGGGCAGGGCGTGAAGAATCGGTGTGGGGATTGCACAAAGGTACAAAGGTCCGGGTCAGCTCCCGGTCCCCTAAGGCCAAATGACTCTCCAGGACTCACTTCTCCCCTCCCTCCCCTTGCCGTGGCCACGGTTCTCCAGCAGCGGCCCGCACTGGACTGAATCCGCGCTCGGCCCGACCGGTTCCAGACCCCAGGTCAGGGGCGAGCCAGGATTCGGACGTGAGGGCTGCGCAGCGTGGGGTCCGGGTGCACAGGGCTGGGCTGCGCACCCGGCAGCAGCGACCCGGCTCTGGCCGCTCGGGGACCGCGCCGAGAAGCGCGGCTGAGCCCCGATCAATCGATGCGCTCGGCGCGCGGCGCGGTCCGAGCGGCGGGCCGGGGACCCGCAGGGGCGGGGCGGCGAGCTCCGACGGGGAGGGGCGGACCGGGCGGCGACTCCCTATTGGCCGGCCTGCCGGGGAGGCGGGCCCTGATTGGCTCGGCCGCGTGGCCGAGTGCGGGCGGCGGGGTTAAGCGCGTCGCCGCCGCCCGGGCCTAGGCGCGAGCACGGAGCGCTGAATCCGCACCCGGGACCTGGGGCGGCGGCCTCCCGCCATGGGCCTTCGCCGGCGTCCCTGCCCAGCGGCGCTGCTCCCGGGGGGCTTCCTGTTCCTCCTGCTGCTGGCAGACCCGGCGCTCCTCGCTGGACGCCGCCCTCCGGTGGTGCTAGGTGAGCGCGCCCAGGCGGCGGGTCCGTTTGTTGGTGCGTCGGTCTGGACGGGATGCGGGCGGGGCTGCCTTCCAGGTCTGCATCTGCCCCCAGCGTGGGGTGAGGGAGCGTATGACTGTCAGTCTTGTCACCTGGGTCTGTCC